ATTCGTTCGTGTTTTGTACCTTTTCAAATACCCAGCATTTGTTTGTTATAGTACTTTTAAACATTCAATAGCATCACAGAGCATAAGAAGTGTGACTAAACGTACCTGCTCAAGAACCGCTTCCACGTATGGTGTATGAATACTTTCACTTTTCATGCAAACTTTGAAGCGATGAGAGATCTCGGGGGATTCGTTGTTTATGAAACTACACCGATCATTTCAAAATCCTCGTATCTCATGAATCTAATCTTATCTTTTAGAAACATGGTTTATTATGTCAATGGCAGATGCGTCCCTGAAGAAAATATACTATTCTTACTTATTCGTTTATGTCTTCATATATGGATCTTAGCAACGTCAGTCGGTTTTTCCTAAAGGTGGTTACGACAAATTGAAGTCGATTGTCAAAAATACAATACTACCACTAATTTATGGTCAGCCGTCGGTTTGCGACAGATTGATTAGTCGCTATCCGTCGCATAGTCGTAGTTTTTTCTGAAGTTGAAAATAGGACCAACGCAAAGCTTCGTAATCCACTCCCATAACAAATTTTGGTATCTCTCCCATTGTGTGGCATCGCTTCCACGAAGTTGAACGATGGTGCCTCGGTGTTGCTCGCGGATATAACGGCACTGCCGAGTGTGCCGAGATTTCGTGTGTTCTCCTCCCACAACTGTACGCCTCACTGGTCTTATGACAAGCGGGTGATTATGTACGTGAACAACGACACAACGCGGCTTTTAGGTTTGCCTCAAACTTGTTTAATCAAACCCTGAAATTGAGCAATGACAGTAAAAATGATAAGTCAACAGGAACTCTTCTTCGAGCAGGAAGGTGAAAAAGTGTTTGACGTGGAAGGTTTGGCGGGCCTTTATATCCCCGAAACCAAAGTTGCTACCGATTGCGCGCGCGATCCGTAGCTCAGGAAGCATGCACTTTCCACGAATTGTTATGTCGTCGCATGGACTGAATAGCAATCTAGATGATCATAATATACATTCGAAAACAGGGAAACGTTGTTAAGACCTATCCAGATTTATGGCCCCACTCATGACTAGTCTCAATAACCCTTCATTTCGATTATTTCGAAAGTGGTTTCTGAGATTATTTCCTAAGGTTCACCCAAGGATAGCGCAAGGGTCGCTGTCGGGTCAGAAAGGGGTCTCGATAGAGGTATCAGTCGATGTAATAAAGGCCCTGAAACCGGCTTAGCCGACGTACCCTCGAAGGCAGAAGAGTTCCCACGGCGTTGTTGAGGCTATAGAGGTTGCACCATTCGCACCAGGACGCACACGCTGCGTCTAGGCAACCCACTGTAGTCAGACAAAGGAACACACTTGGGCAGCTCGTTCTAGCACGCAGCCCCAGATGCAACATTTGCCGTCATATTATTCCAACTCCAAATTTTATCACTTTTCCGAATCTTTTTATTCTTTCATCCTTTTATCTCTTTTTATTTCTCTGAGGACGCCAATTTCCGCGAGGTCGCTCCCATTTGCTAATACCCATACGTCCAGTATTCTCACGAAACTAGATACACCAAAATTACCACTAGCTGTGTTCTTGATAAGATCATGAATTTGTGTTCTCTTCGATAAACATCATGATGAAATTTCATAATTTCCGCTTGAAGGGTGCTTCAATATTCCAGTCCATCCTCTATTTGCAGTTGTAACAACTTCCAACCACATATTTTACTTGAAAGATCATTGGATCGCCCTGCTAAAGTTAAAGCCGAGTATATCATGCATTCATGCACCTACTCCAATTTTTCGGGTTTGCTTTTTCGGACGGAAAAGTATATCGTGCTTTCATGCATGAATTTTGAGTCTCCAAGAACCTAAGGTGATACCTGCATCGTAGGCCCTTCAGTTCAATTGAGAACTTCTTTTCAGTATTAGAAAGGCATACATGGCATAACATTCAGAGAAAGCATGGAATCGTGAATAATTCGAATAACTTGATGGAGGAACTTCAACTATTTCAGCTGGTGTCACTAGTTCCATTCTGCTATTCTACCGATATTTGTTAGTTCCTCCAGCGAGGCATTCCTCAAAAACCAGTAAGTACTGTACTTAGAAGTAGAACTTCAGTGTCGCCTGATACAAGAAAACTAGCAAAACTAAACTAGGTTTACGGAAGTGGTCGAACTAGGTCTTCATTTCAGCATTTCTAGGATGTTTCAATTGATGACTCCTTGACAGTTCCACTTTTCAATTCGGTAACTTTTAGCCATGAGCTCATGTCTTTTCGAAAAAATTCCTATCAGTTGACTGAGGTGGCCTATCCGAAGAAGTTGGAATTGCAAGTGAATTGAACTTTGTAGAATCGGGTTGCGATAGAATAGTCCTAGCATAGCAACCATGTTGGACTGAATCTTGGCATAGTATAGATATAACTTTGGAGGTCTAACTGAAGCTACGACCAAGATGATACAAAGTTTTATTCGGCTAACGTTTCGGCCAATCGCCTTCGTCAGAGCCTGGAAGCCAAAAAATATTTGAGATTCATCCTG